CGTTACAGAATACGCCGTAGAGATCGTTAATTGGTTTATTGAACAATCTACAAATATCGGCTACAATTAATTATCACAATGTGACGGGTTTCCACAGTTTACAAACCTTACTACAAAATCTCTTAACACTATCTTCAAGAGTCTTCACGTATTAATAACGCGGGAGCTATACAAGTCTCCCTGAATTACACACTCCAGATATAACTGGTTATCGCACACGCGTCTGTAGCTCGTAACTTGCGAACTGAGAACTCGTTGATAACGCACTGACTCTCGCTTGCTGTTCAGCCCGGTTTTATTCCGTTCGCTGTTGCTAGTGTGATGTGGCACATAGCCTAGGACGCTGTTACCCCTTGGTGACGTCACTGCTGTTGACTCGCTTTGCATCGCTTCAAGGTTGCGGGGACTCGGCTAGCTTCGGCTGCACTTGTGACGTCACCGCGGGGAGAGTTGCGGGGTGATGACTGGCCTATTACGCGAGCGCTACGTTACCGCTACGTGCAGCTGGGGAGGTAGGGGTCAACATGTCACAATATATTGTGACGTGTTGCGCTATGCAGGACACCCCTCCCCCCGCCAGCGGTGACGTGACCAAGGGATGCCACGGTTGCTATGCAGCCATAAATAACTCGCGACAGCGCTGCTAGCAACACGGCACCAGAGAACAGTGGTGCCTATTACGTGGCTGTTTTCTGTGTTGTCCGTAACGGGGCTAAATAAGGAGCAGCGAAGGCTATTCAAGTTAGTTCTCGAGTTATGAGTTAGCCAGAGAGTCGGTCACCAGTTAATTGAAGCCAAGTAATTGTAATACTGCAGATAGCACTAGTTGTGAAAATGTGAATTGTGTGATTATAAGAGCAAATGTGAAATAAAATTTGCTATATCCAATACGGCGTGAAGTTATTTGTCGCGTTATACACCCAACACGTGACAATATATATATATTATAACTGTTTTAATGAGTTACTCATTGTGATTTGCCTTGGATAATATGTGTAAATGTTATGGATTAAGTATAATTAATTTTTATTTCTATATTGATGGGATTTGCCCTGTTGCCTTTGACTATTTCTATATCCACTGGTCTTCCAGCAATGTAAGGATCCATGGAATATACACGAATGACTGAATAACTTTATCATCTTATCAAAAATTATTGGACAGAGGGGATAGATACACAGATGGGTGAGTGCATGGATATGGTGATACCATGAGCCTGTCTTTACTTATAAAATGAGGAATTAGGTTTAAAAGCATAGTGGTGTTATAGATTTAATGTATACTCATTATTATATATATGCACATTAACATTTTGCGGACCGGCAACTTAAATATTTAAATCACCCTGTGGACCGGCATTTTTTTACCTACTACCGTAACTTGTGCACTGTTCACTTTAAAAATTAATATAAAATCTCCTAATTAATTTTATGAACTAAAATTTTTGGAGAACACTTACCAGTGCTCCTAGAAGTATTTGAGAGTGTGATATTTCTGGAAACATTCCCTTTTGTGAAGAGACATTACACACTTGCAAATGTAGACATAGTCCTTTTTTTGTGAACTGCGCAAACACGGCATTGCCTAGAAGGATGCTTCCCCTTGGAATGTTCACTCGTCACAATTTTCACGAGGGTACGTTTCCACATATCACCCAAGAGTCCCTCAGGGGTGTCCACATGAGGCCTGCGTGGGGTGGGAGTAGACGGGCCCCAGTTGCACTAAAACTGTGTCTGCAGCCGGTTCTGCCGCCACCATGTGGTCTGTAGCCCAGGCTTTTGCCACATTCAGCAAANAGCTTGAAGATATAAAGGCATTTATTTTCCTTTGCAGGGGCATACAGTTACAGTGAGGTCACGTAACTGATTAGTCAGCAAACATTCCAGAGGCTTATCACGCAGCTGCAGGCAGCTATGTGTTAAAGCTGGGTGGCGCCAAAGCAATGTATAGTGTGTTGCAACTTATCGTGTTCTAAAAACGTATTAATACACGACTGGTCTGCCACGTTTAAAGCAAAAAACGTATTAATGCATGTGCAGTCCACAAAGTGTTAAAATAATGATGACATCTCCAGTGCTACCAACACAGACAGGTTGTTATACTGTTAGTTTTCAGCAATTTAAATTTTAAAACTTGGAATCTAAGAGGTGTAATCACCTGTGAGTCAGTGAAAAGGAATACCACATGCTGCTCAGTAGAACTTGCACGTTGCAAGATGTTCTTCATATCCTCATGCCACTCATTCGTGCCGTATTTCTTGGAAATCTCCACCTGCACAATGGTCTGAACTGTCACAAATCACAATGTACAATATCTATGCTACCAAATAACTTACAAATATATCGGTTTTTATGAAATACAGTATGCGCCAAAAACTGCAGTACTGAAACTCACACATTTTGAACATGCATGTGTGTTTGTCGATGGGGCATAGCTCCAGCCACACGTGTTCCCAGTAGTGAAAAGGAAGCTGTGTTGTGCAGTTGTTGTTGGAAATGGGTCTCTCGATGGAGGAAAAAGTATTCATAGTTGAGCATTATTTCCGCTTATATGGAAGTGGTTGCCAGACAACTCGCTTCCTTGGCTTTGATCGCTACATAGTACACATGTGACGATATGGTGTGCCATCTCAGGACACGGTATATTAGGCCCCTATTTCATTGAGGATGAGGAAGGCAATGCTCTTATAGTCACCCAAGAATGCTACAGGGACACGGAGATTCGACCCTTTCTTCAGGATCTGAGAAGGTTCTGTTGTGCAAAGGGCCTTCATATGAATAGACAGTGGTATCAACATGACGTCTTTTCATTTCACTACTGAAATATTTTGGCGCATACTGTATATCAAATGCTGAAATAATATGAGGTGTATCAGAATGTTTCCGGACTGTTATTTTGTAACTGTCTTGGTGAAAAAGATGAGAGGGGAGGCCAAGGTCACACTTTCATAAGCCTATTGCATCAGTCTTCCACGTGACACTGCACCGTGAACATGCACTGTTTTTACACAAATGCTTTTTCGAATTTCTGTTTCGTTTTGTCTGTGATGGATGGCAAGATCAAGCAACGTGTCTGCGTTAGGTTTTGCGTGAAGCTCAGTAAATCCACTACTAAAACCCCTGAAATACTTCGTGGGGCTTTGAGAGAACATTCTTTAAGCCAGAGAGGGTTTCTGAAAGACATCCACATTTCAAGGACGGTCGAGTCAGTTCAAGATGACAAAAGTTCAGGGCAACCAAGCTCCAGTAAAACGACAGAAAATGTTGAAAAAATTTGAGAACTCATCCATGAAGACCATTGCGGAACGGTCCATGAGCTTGCAGATACTGTTTGGATCAGTTATGGAGTTTTCCAGGAGATCTTAGCAGAAAATTTGAACATGCACCTCATTGCCGTGAAGTTTGTTCCCCGATTCTTGATACTGATCAAAAGAAGTGGTGATAAACATGTGTCTTGAGCTATGAGAGAAGGCTAATGAGGAACCAACATTTATCTCTAGGATCATAATGGCTAACGAAGTTGGATTTGCGGTTATGATCCATAAACAACAAAACAACTGTTGCAGTGGAAGAGTACCACAATCACCAAGAGCAAAAAAGGTGCAGCAGGTTTGGAATTCAATAAAGAGCATGGTCATTGTTTTTCTGACATGAAGGGGATTGTTGAACATGAATTTGTTCCTCCTAACAATAAATTATTTAAGCAAATATTTTGTACATTGGAGTATATGAACATTTTTGTGGGGATACTCTGTATTTGTTAAGTTTATTTTTAAGTACACATGCATATTATTTTGATGCAGTCAACAGTAATACAGTTCCTCTATAATTATTACATATGGTTTCCGATCCTATTCTTTATATATTAATCATGAATCTAGATTTCAATCTTTTCATATTTACTGTTTCTGCCATGTGCTGTTGAAGAGTTAAAGTTGTTTTCATTTTTAACAAGTGTCCATAAATGGGAGTACAATGAGACAGTACATCAGCTATTTGTAGACTTCAAGAGAGACTATGATTCAGTTAGGAGGGAAGTATTGTACAATATTCTGATAGAGTTTGGGATACCCATGAAACTAGTTAGGCTGATTAAAATGTGTTTAAACAAAACGTATAGTAAAATTTGTATAGGTAAACAGTTTTCTGATAAATTTCCTATCCAGAATGGTCTAAGACAAGGAGATGCTTCATTGCCACTACTTTTCAACTTTGCTTTAGAATATGCCATTAGGAAGGTCCAAAAAAACCAGGTGGGACTGAAATTAAACGGGAGACATCAGCTGTTGGTCTATGCTGATGATGTGTATCTATTGGGTGATAATGTAGATACCATAAAGAAAAACGCACAAACTTTAATTGATGCAAGTAAGGAGGTTGGTCTAGAATTATACACAAAGAAAACTAAGTATATGTTGCTGTCTTGTGACCAAAATGCAGGGCAAAATCACATAAGGTTAGAAAACAGATGTTTTGAAAATGTGGCACAGTTCAGATATTTAGGAACGACGATAACAAATCAAAATCTGATGCAGGAGGAAATTAAGAGGAGACTGAACTCAGGTAATGCTTGCTACCATTCAGTCCAGAAACTTTTGTCTTCCCATCTGCTGTCCAAAAACACAAAAATTAGAATATACAAAATTATAATTTTGTTAGTGGTTNTATCTATTGGGTGATAATGTAGATACCATAAAGAAAAACGCACAAACTTTAATTGATGCAAGTAAGGAGGTTGGTCTAGAATTATACACAAAGAAAACTAAGTATATGTTGCTGTCTTGTGACCAAAATGCAGGGCAAAATCACATAAGGTTAGAAAACAGATGTTTTGAAAATGTGGCACAGTTCAGATATTTAGGAACGACGATAACAAATCAAAATCTGATGCAGGAGGAAATTAAGAGGAGACTGAACTCAGGTAATGCTTGCTACCATTCAGTCCAGAAACTTTTGTCTTCCCATCTGCTGTCCAAAAACACAAAAATTAGAATATACAAAATTATAATTTTGTTAGTGGTTCTGTATGGGTGTGAAACTTGGACTCTGACATTAAGGGAGGAATATAAACTGAGGGTGTTTNTGCAAGTAAGGAGGTTGGTCTAGAATTATACACAAAGAAAACTAAGTATATGTTGCTGTCTTGTGACCAAAATGCAGGGCAAAATCACATAAGGTTAGAAAACAGATGTTTTGAAAATGTGGCACAGTTCAGATATTTAGGAACGAC